CTGAACAAAGTTGCAGCCGTTGAAACTAAAACAATAAGCATACCATACCATGGTACATAGAGCTGAAGGAAACAGCAGTTTGGTGTTTCTCTGTGGGTTTGTCACTACAAGCGACACCTTACACAGTCACAGTTTTTACATTGTTAATATAATGTGTTGTATAGTGCTGCCTTAAATTCTGTATTGTGAAATTTGCTATATTTTAATTCACAGTTTAAAAGCCTTACTTTTAAAAGCCTTGTGCCAACAAGAAACTCCTAATTACAACCTCTTTACCCTAATTTAACCTACAAGTCAAGATGAAGTGAAAGGACGAATATAGTATTGAATATTTTTCTTGATAGATGTCTGTTCATGAATGGCATAAGATTTAAAACCAACTCTTTGGTTCAACTCCCAAGAAATTCTGTTGCATTTGGTATGTTAAATCAAGACATTAAGGCACAATGGAGCATTGTAATCTGGCTCGACTTAAAATGCCAGATTTAGCTATACTTATCCTACTTTAGATTTTAAGAGAAGCAAATTTTTTATGTAGTTTAGGATTAAAGTGTGACTTGCATTTATATCCTGTGTGTGCCTCTTCTCTGTCTCCCTGCTATCTTGCTGTCTCATGTACAGGTTGTTGGATGAGTACACAGAGAACATTACTGCTGTTAAATAATCCTCATTCCACTTTAGGCCTTTTATTTTGTCTTGAGAGGTTTGAGAGCAGCAGGTCACTTTTGAAGGCTCATTTAAGTTACGCAGGCATTTGTGCATCATGTATCATCTCAAAATGCCTAATCATGCTTGCAGGGGCAGATTAGATGCATATTCCTTTGTGAAAACTCTTAAACGTCAGACACACAAACATACACAAGTTGTAAACAAGTTCAAGTTGTTTACGCAAAACTGTGTCATGCCGCTCTGAGGGTCCCTGTTGCCAACTTGACCTGCAATAACCTCCTTAACATTCCGGGCAAACTTTGATCTGTGTTGCATACACACCTCGAAAGAGTAAACATGTTTACAAAGTTGAATTTGCTGATGAAATATATTTTCTCTGTAAAATTACACTTCTGATAAGCATATGATCTTGAAACTAGGGTTGGGCCGATGGATGATGCCATTGACTATGGCTGACACACATTGACCAACTACTAGCCCACTAGTGCCAAATATGGGTAGGCTATATTTCTGTGTGGCAAGTCAAATTTTGTTACTTAATAATTCAAGAAAATCTTTGCAAATAGAACGCCAATGAGAGTAATTTATCACTATGACTAGTATTTAAAATATTTTTTTATCAGATGATCTGCTTAATAAGGTAATGTTACCTTGAGCTGTTAACCGTTCCTGCTGCAGCTTCCGTATCTTGGTCATGAAGCACGTCGGAGACTTTGTTTTCCCTCAGGCCCAAATGTTACTATCTGCAATGTTCTTATATTTTATTCGGACCATTGTCTCCATGATACTCGCTAGCTTGCCATTTACAAGTCACCTTCATCAGCTGACATCACAAAGCAACCACCCAGACCTACACAATGCAGCCAAGCCACAGCCAGCCAGCCAACCCCAGCTTAGCTTATCTTACATTTATCTGGTTGGCTGACCCTGCCATGCATTGCTCTTGGGTAGTAGAATGCAATAATTACACACCTTTGCTTTGTACCATTACACTTTATTGTTGGTTGAACTCAACACTGTTTGTCGTAATACATAAGTTATTATTATTGATCATGTTAGCTGGTGAATTAAGCAAGTAAGCTAAATAACATCCACTCAGATAGTATTTTGATAGCGATCGCATTAGCAAGCAAGAAAGCTAAGGTTAGCCAGCCAGCTGCAACCCAGCCTCACTGAATAGCATTATTTAGTGCCAGCTGCTCCATAGCGCTAGCTGGCAAAGTAACCTGCAAACAGCAAGCCAGTCAATTTAGCAACCATGGCCCGGGAGTCTGGATGAAGCAGTTTGTTTGGTTAGCAATCCAGCTAAGGCTAGCCAACCAAAACCACAATCCCATAATATTTTACATGCTTTGCAGAAATGTTAGTTTTCGTCTTTGGACTCCGTTGTGGTGGGTGTCAGTCACAGTTGCAGAAGTAAGCAGTCTCCATTGTAAGTTAGCTAGTGTTGCACACTGTTGACACTGTCGGGAGGTAGAGAAAGAAGGCATTCAGGAGTATGCATTAACATTGCGTTCAGAATCCTCTACATAGAAACCAGACTACAGGACTTAATAGGCAACGACAAGGTTTCATTTTGTAAGTTATGTTACAACCCAACAAATTGGCAACAAAAAGCAATTCATACATTAAATAATAATACATAAAATACTTAAAATTTTTACAAATGGCACCTTTAAAGATCCCATGCTACCCTTATACCAGTGGGATGCATATGGACTCAAATGTGCAAAAGAGAGAAAATAATATCTAACATAAATACAAAAGTATAAAAGAAGTAATATTAAAAAAATTATATTTCCTTTATAGGAGTAGCCCATGAGACGACCCCCGTGGACACTGCCATGTGTCCCTACCCCAATTAAAACGTCTGACACTTCCACTGTAAAAAGAGCAGCTTGAGGATGGTTGTGTCTAGAGATAAAGTTTGTAGGTAACCATGTCAGTGTTATGCATGGCCGAATTGTGGCATTACATACAAGTAGGGCTTAAGAGATGGCCATCTGATGCGGGCTCTGATGCCCACTTTGCATACCCTGCTTACACACTTGCCTTGATGTTGAGTCCAGTTGACAGAAGCCTAAGACGAGTGTTTCACACATGCTGAGTGAAGCCAAACCAAAGTAAACCGAGTTCCAGTGAGCTGCCCTGGTTAGGGTTAGACATCAAAAAATTATCTGGGCCATTGCTGTGCGGGTCAGTGCAGAAATAGTTTGGTTCATGGAGTGAAAAGGGTATGTGAAAGCACTTTAGTGACCTAAATAATATGCAGCTTTGCTCGTGAATCATTTCCGCCACCAGCAGAAACCTTTAAGGTGATGTCCAGATGGAGAAACAAGAGTAGTATTCCCTTCAAATTACTATCAAAATTTTGACTCTCACTGAATAGTCACTTCAGCCATCAACATAAAAGGGATTCAAAGGCTGCTCTGAAGGGTTCCCACGGGAGTCCTTACAGAGACGCAAAGCAACTAAAAGGGTCTGCAGACAGACTTTCACCATGGGTGCCTCTTTATCGAAGAAAAATCTGGGAGAAAACTACAGTAATGTGGTGTCCACTGAAAACAGGATACACATAACTTGTCCTAGCTCATTGTGCAAGACCTGTAAACTGAAATTGCTTTCACCAACATGAGCTTTCCAAATGATCTAGTTTCCAAACTCTTCCTCTCCCACACAAGGCTCGCTGAGGCTTTAATTACTTCTGCTGGGCCAGCACAGGTGAAGCACATTCTCACTAACAAGGTGGTTTCCAACCAGGGAGCACTGAAACACCAACAGGAAAACAACATGATGGAGAGAAAAACTGGTGCCCACAATAGAGGGTAACCGATGCTTATAATAATCCTCCACCCAACTGATTTCACCATCCATTGTCAGATCGTTACAGAAGAAACATGGTGCAAGAGTATAGGAAAACAGGGAGGAATGTGTCTTTTACTGAAAATAAAGTGTGAACTAGTTTTCACACCAATGGCACATACGTTTGTCACAGTGCACATATATACAGGATTAAAATCCATCTTGTGTCAGAGACAGATAATCAGAGCACAGAATGGTTTATGATTACATCAGATGTAACCATTATGACCTGAAAACATAAGTGTTAGACGTCACAAAACAATAATGACATATGTCCTAGTTTTCATTTGCAGTTACACCACTCTCGATCTTTACATCATCGGATCCTGCAGTTAATGTATGCTGCCATCATCGTCTCTGCCCTTATTTAGTAAGTCGGTCAGCAGCACAAACACAGCAGTGGTGTAACAGCACAGACTGGTGGTGACTATTTGTTATGGCACCTTGCTCCAGTTGCCAATGACAGAATCACTCTAACCATCTTAATATTGTCAACAGTATATGTGCTGTAGTCTCATGTTATTCTTGCTGTAAAATATCACGCCTGCCATGCCGGAAACTTGTCACAGCCTGTTGCAAAGTGTGTCAGACTCTAAATGATGGCTTAAGACAAAAATCTGAATAATGTTAAATCTGCTCAGATTGGATATTTACATTAAAAAAGTAAAAAAATGGCTCCACTGCAGTGGCTGATTCGTGGTGCTAGTGCAGGAGATTATTTGTCTAAGGCCTCAAAGTTCAACAGAGGATAGATTTCATAACAAAAATAACTGCAACTGCCCATGATCCTTTGAGACCCATCCTGATTTCACTCCACCAGCAAAGTGATTTCTATTTTGCTACGAGTTGGTGTGCTCTGCTGCACTCCATAGATGGCAGAAGAATTCTGGATAGGGTCACTGCAGTCGCAAAATATGGAAGAGTAACATCGTGTGTGTGTGTGTGTGTGTGTGTGTGTGTGTGTGAGCGGGTTTATGGTCTCTCTTCACTTACATTTCACACGCCTCTATGCCAGTATTCGCACATGTGTCCTAATGCAACCCCTTTGATCTGTCAGAGTGTGTACTTATCATACTGAGGTGCTGTATGCTTTTCCCACTCTGTCTTTTTAGCCCCTCATCCCCTCGCAGCTCGTATAGCTTGTAAGTAGCTGGCATGGGAGCCTTAAAAGCCTTAAAAGCCCCCATGTATAGGAGTTGAGCCTGTCCATTTGACCTGACCTGCACATTACTTATTGCACATTAATTGTGTTAATGTCATAGCATTAAATCTGGAAGCTTATATCTAAATACGATGACATAGACACACCAATACAAACACGAGGATAGTCAGTTGAAAGCCAGAGATGGCTTTAAGAGCGTTGAGTTCTGAAAGGCTAAGGCTCTGTTCCTAATCCCTTTCCTACTTTTCCTTCCACCCCCCCCTCCCTCCCCCTTTTGCTTTCTCTCTGTATCTCTTCTCTCTTGCAGGAGAATTCTGGGGAGATTTCTTACTCTTTCATTCCTCAAGGATGAAGCAGCACAGTGGACCTGTGTACTGAAACAGGTAAGGACTGAATATCAAGATGACCTTCAAACAGACATGCTCACACATAAACCTCCTTCCCTCATTGTCAAAAGCAGATTTTTTTCTGGGCCCGATTTGTGTATGATTTATGTTGCTAAAAGGCTGTGCCATGCCCACTGAGAAAGACTCAGAGAGGGAGAAGAAAAAGAGAGGGAAAGGGTGGGATCTCGCTTTTGAGAAAGAGAGCAAAGGAAGCATAGAGATTCATCCTGTGGGACAGAAAGAGCGAGAGAAGACACTGTCGACAGGATGAAAGTTTAACCAAACATCAGCTCCCCGCAGGAGTGGCAAATCTGCTGCCGTCGCAGTGGACAGACTGTAGGAAAGACATGCAAAGAGACAGACCGGCAGACAAGACAAGACAGAGCGGCGATCCCCAGCTGTTTTTAAAACGCTGCCTCTGATGCATTATTGAATATGCAGCTCTCCAACGCATCGCTGCGCTTTCCTCTCATGTTAGCGCTCAAGTTCGCATAGCGTCACCATTCCAAATATAAAACATTGGCTCACCCCTCTTCGGTTTGTTGAAAGATGCAGAGGCTGCACGTAGGCTGTGTGTGTTGCTCTGAGTGGCACTTTTCCTTCTCTGAGGCTGGCTGGAGTTTGAGATGAGTTTGTATGTGTGTGACTCATTTTGGAAGCAAGCCCCAGCAAACTTCAAAAAACATAAATAGATTTCATCAAACTCTTTGAAAGTATTGTTAGATGAGTATACTGAGTCAAGCAGAGCGCTTCACTGGGAGTCGCACATACTGTACACTGAAGGAAGTGAGATGTTATCGAGGGGATTGATTTTGAATCAGACAGCATGTGGAACACTGTGGGTCTCTAGTGCAGTAATAACTTAGTTTGCACAACTCAACTACCCCTTCTTCCTTGTTATTTTTTCACAGTTTATTAAGTTTGATTTAGGTAGATGTTCTAAGGTCAGCGGCCTAAGACTTTGTGTAGGTGGAATACCGGGTCTGGTCCACAGGTGGCAGCAGAGCAACATACCCAGCAGGCATGTTTCTGTAGCAGACTCCATCGGCCCATTTTATCAGAAAATCCCTGTATAGGCCTTCATTTATCTCTCTGTCTCATCCAAGACAAGTTTTCAAGCAAATGATACTTCCAGGCCAAGAAAAAAACTGTGTGATAACCAATCAATATGGCTTTTTGTTCATATATCAAGTGTGACAACTCAAACCCACATGAAAAATCTTGTCTCGTTCTATTTCAGCTCCCACTTTTGAAACTTCATGTTCCAGGATGAACCATGAGCAAAGGTAAGATACGTGTCTTAGACTTGACCTTATTTCAGAATGTGTGGGTATGTGTGTGTCAATGAACATATGCCTGTGAGCGTGTGTACAGATGCATGATTTCCTATCTGTGTGTGAGGAAGCATGGACACCTGGGTCCAAGTGCTGCTGGGGGTATGTGCAGTCATATGAATGTCTGAGGGTGTGTGTCTCTGTTTTCTGACAGATGTTGTAACGACATGATTAGCCCTCTGGCTGCCAGTAGCTCTGTGTGAGGTTGCTATAGTGACTGTGGGTTGAGTGTTGGGGAGGCCAGAGAGGAATATGAGGGTGCCGAGGATGAGGAGAGGGGGTGGAATAGGAAATGAAGTGCCTGGTGCCTCCGGCCTCTGTGTGTTTGTGTGTGTGTGTTTGTGCGAGTGTGTGTGTATTTCTGTTTCCGTGTGCATGAGTGGGTGTGTTTGTGTGACGCTTATGTCTGTTTGTTTTTGTATTTTTACAAAGAGTACAGCATTGAAGAGACACTCATCTGTGTAATTGGGAATTTGATCAAGATAATTCACTCAAACACACAGTCAATCATGTACACACTCAGACACACACACATACACACAGGTTCAGTCTGCGTAGGAGCGACGGAGACGGGGATCCTGTGATGGCAGGAGCGTGGGCTGAGGGTAACCTGCTCAGCCTAACAGGCCGACACCATGAGTGGGTCGCACTTCGTATCACTTAAATTGCCACGTCAATGGAGCTGTTGTGCAAGCTGGTACAAGCAAGAGAAATGCTGTCTGCCTTTGTGAGCACCAACACTGTAAAATGGTGTGTGAAGCACCATGCAGCTTTAAGAACAAGGCTCCAGCTCAGGTTGCTGATCATTTTTTTTGTCTCAGTTCTAAAAAAGCACTTATCAGCCCCAGGGTCAAGACCCCCGCTAGGGTTTGCTTTTCTTTCGTGAAGTACCAGTTTTTTTCATCCTGAAACTTCTAAAATGTTAAATGAAAAAAAACTGAGAAGAGAAAACTTACCTTTGTTTGAACTGCGTACACCTGAGATACGACTTGCATCTTTGTTTTAAGGGGTCACAAGCAACACTGTATGTAGCCAAGGTTGAGAACTCTTTTGGCTTGTTTGTGTAGTTCAACTTTTTCCAGTGTCCAGTACCTCAACTCAGGAAATCTGCCAATACAGTGTTTTTACAGAGTGCTAATCCAGTGCTCTCTTTTTCCCAAACTTAAAATATGTATACCTCGCTGTGAAACTCCTCGAATATGTGTTATGTTAGACAACATTAGCCCAGGGATTGCTGTGACACTAAAAACTAAGTTGGCGACCCACTCTGACTGAGTGAATGTAACTGATGATGAAAACACAGAATTTTATGATGACACTAATGTAGATAATGATGTTCAATGCGGATCGTATGTGGATCCCATGCCTGAACCATTTAGTCTATATCAGCACAGATACGGCTCCATGCATTCCTAATCGTCTACCTGTCTACCGCCTCGAGACCTGTAACCAGTGCTGTCGTCAAGACTACCTTTGTTGAGTCCAGGATCAGCACAAGTTAGTAGGGACTTGGTCAAGACCAAGTCCAAATGAAAGAGAGAAAATAAAGCTTTTGTCATTGCCAATGAGATGAGCTTTGGCAGCCAGGCATATGATTGCAAGTGATTACCAGTGGTGGTTACCAGGTGGTCAGTGTCAGTGCCAGTTTTAGATGGATTTTGAATTAAGCCAACATCCATTTTCTGAACAAGCATGCTTCATCAATGGTTTTGTTCTGAAGGCAGAATATGTGTGTAATATATATATACATTGCTGTCGAGACCAAATAAAATATTTATTTATATATATTTATATATATTTAATATAAGTCCATGTGCAGAAATGTGCAAAATTCTATGTCATCTGCTAAGTAAAATCATCTTCCTTCTTCTTTGTTGACATCAGTTTCAATATTAGAGAGAAAAAAGCATGAAAAAATGCTAATGTTAAATGTTAATGCAAATATGAAAAAGACAGGATTATTAAAGCAATTTGTGTCAAGGTAACATTAAAATGTTAATATTTTAATCACTGAGGTAAAATCCTGTCAGAATTAGTTGATGTGTCACCAGGGGGCCACTTTAAGTGAACCGATCTTAAATTGTTACGACTACTTTGCGTAACAATTTAAAGCAACTCTCAGGCTCCGCTGCCACATCGTCCTCATGCTAGTCTCCTGTATCGCTAGAATGGGCAGCCTGCTTTGTGTAATAGTCATGGTGAGAGATATAATGTGCTGTACCGTACGGGGCTGGCTTCACACAGGGATTACACCTAGATGATTCTTCAATAGAGAATTTAGACTCGGGTAGCCGAGCTTAATCCGTGCCGGTGGAAGCGGACCACAGTGCTGTAGAGCCATGGCCAGATATGACAGAGAACAGAGGGCAGCCAGATTAGTTCATACTCGGAAGAGGGTTGAGCTTGAAGCTGCCTGACAGAGCGTCTCTTGACAGCTCCTCCCAAATCTCTCTACTCTCTCTAATGCAGTCTGAGGGAAACATTGTTCGCCTTTCAGTCTTTTGGATGGTCTCTTTCTTTCTCCCGCTCTGCCCCTGTCTCTATGTGTGAGGTGAGAATGAGACATAGGGAGTAAGAGTGTGTGTGTGTGTGTGTTATCGCTTCATTAGCTTGTAGATTTCTGGGTCATTCGTAGCCTTGTTCCCACTGTCTCAGATGCTGTAATTACCCTCACATGAGTCACATCTGATAATTAGGATGGTCCGAGCAGGACTCAGCCACACACACACACACACGCACTGTTCACGTGACACACATGCACATATACACACACACATCAGTCATTAGTGGAAAGCTTAACGTGCAGTACAGTGCTAATGGGATTATCATTGCTGAGGGTCCCACTCATCAACCTCTTACTCCTCTCTCTATTCATCATCAAGCACCATTCTTAAGCACTTAGGAGAACCTGTCATTTTCTACACGATCTCTTTCTTTCTTTCTTTCTTTCTTTAATCTCATACCTTCCTTTCTCCTTTCATACTTTTACAGTGAATACGCTCTATTGGCATGACCAAATCTAAGAATGGACTCAACAGGGTGCTGTTGTGGCCAAGGGGGTTTATGGCGCTGACCGTGTAATTCTGAAGTCCCTGTTTCCAGTCCGGCAGGGGACCTCTGTTGCATGTCTCTTTCCCCTCATTTCATGTCTGTCTCTACGGTCTACTTTCAAGTAAAGGCATAAAAAAGCAGACTCTATTATAGTGGTTCACAAACTGCTTAGCTGGTGACCCCTTAAAATGAAGGAATGTATTCGTACAACCCTTCATCATGAATTGCATCTTTCAACCATAGTATTTTGGGTTGTTTTTTTCTTTTCTTTATTTGAAAATTTTGGTGGCCTGAAGATGTATGATGATCAAGCAGTTCTCAAGACAAAATTAACACAATTTTGTGTAGGAGAATTTTTTTCCCTGCTTTCCTGCTGTTTCCTTCTAGTCATCTCGTGGCCCTTCTTTTTTATCTCGTGTCCACAGCTCTATGTTAATAAAAAACAGCCAAATTAAAACTAATTATAGGATTAACATTCTTCACCGCAAATATCATGCTGTAGGAGGAATATTTAGAGAACTGCAACAAAAGAAAATTGAGACAAAATGTATTTAGTTCAAAGGGGGATTTCACCCATGTTTCTCATATAATGCCCTTTTCAGTTGTTAATTCTAGACTTACAGCTACCCAGCCATCATTAAAGTAAACCCTGCATTGTAACAAGGCAATGACAAAGAAAAAGAAAAAAATGGGGGGAATGTAACTTTGATTTGTTGTTCTGCTCTTTTATCCTTTAGTTGCACTGACATAATCACCTCTCTCCATCTCAGCTACTCTCGGCCTTCTCCATATCATCAGTGCACCCATTTCATCAGCTCATTTAAAAGTAATATTACCCATAACAATTCAATTTTCACTGTGTTTATTCTGTTGACTGAGATGGTAATGGAGATATTGACAGTGTAGTGCAGAGTGATTCTGTCCAGGCCATTGTGTTGAGTGGTTCGATGGAGAGAAGTGGATGACTGGAGGGCTATCTATGGTATTACATATAGTGTGGAAGGCGTGGGAAAGAGAGGCCCTCTGAAAGCCAGAAGCTTAAAAACCATGCCTCGAGTACACAGACATAAAGGGACAACTCACACAAACACACACACACACACACACACACACACGGATACACATACAGGCAGTGGATTAGGATGGGGATTATGGAAGCATAGCTGTAAAACAGGCAGAGACAGATCAGTGTTATACTTTATAAACACACTCAATGTGTATTAAGAATGTACAGTAAGATGGAGGTATTGAGATGAATGGTTTGAAGGCTTAGGTTCATGCATCATGACTGAGCACTATTCAAGCTTAAATAGGAATACAGTTCAATAGGGACGCAAAGAAGCTTTAGCAATCAATTATTGAACTAGAATAGCAGGAACTGAAAGCTACAGAGATTTCCTGTCTGGGTCATAAAGTATTTTACAATGAATTTAAATTTTCAAAAAATGTCAACCTTCAGAGTGAAATACAATGAGGTGTACACTTGTGAGCTTCAAATTTTGGTCTTATATCCAGTATCCAATCTACCAAAACTACAAGAAAAGACAACCATGACATTATGCTAAGCAACAGGTCCCAACATCTTAACCTCTGGCACCTTTTTAATAAATGGTGAGCCACATGAGTTTGTGGAGAACTTTACTTATAGACAGCTTTGTCCACTAGGACAGTAAAATATAGAAAGGACATCAATTAAAAATCATTCTAGTGTGCGCTTTCACTGCCACGTCTAAAAGGGTCTGGGCGCCCGGTTAGCTCAGTGGGTAGAGCTGGCGACCCCATGTACCAAGGCTGAGTCCTTG